CCCTTTGCACCCATTCCCTTTGCACCCATTCCCTTTGCACCCATTCCCTTTGCACCCATTCCCTTTGCACCCATTCCCTTTGCACCCATTCCCTTTGCACCCATTCCCTTTGCACCCATTCCCTTTGCACCCATTCCCTTTGCACCCATTCCCTTTGCACCCATTCCCTTTGCACCCATTCCCTTTGCACCCATTCCCTTTGCACCCATTCCCTTTGCACCCATTCCCTTTGCACCCATTCCCTTTGCACCCATTCCCTTTGCACCCATTCCCTTTGCACCCATTCCCTTTGCACCCATTCCCTTTGCACCCATTCCCTTTGCACCCATTCCCTTTGCACCCATTCCCTTTGCACCCATTCCCTTTGCACCCATTCCCTTTGCACCCATTCCCTTTGCACCCATTCCCTTTGCACCCATTCCCTTTGCACCCATTCCCTTTGCACCCATTCCCTTTGCACCCATTCCCTTTGCACCCATTCCCTTTGCACCCATTCCCTTTGCACCCATTCCCTTTGCACCCATTCCCTTTGCACCCATTCCCTTTGCACCCATTCCCTTTGCACCCATTCCCTTTGCACCCATTCCCTTTGCACCCATTCCCTTTGCACCCATTCCCTTTGCACCCATTCCCTTTGCACCCATTCCCTTTGCACCCATTCCCTTTGCACCCATTCCCTTTGCACCCATTCCCTTTGCACCCATTCCCTTTGCACCCATTCCCTTTGCACCCATTCCCTTTGCACCCATTCCCTTTGCACCCATTCCCTTTGCACCCATTCCCTTTGCACCCATTCCCTTTGCACCCATTCCCTTTGCACCCATTCCCTTTGCACCCATTCCCTTTGCACCCATTCCCTTTGCACCCATTCCCTTTGCACCCATTCCCTTTGCACCCATTCCCTTTGCACCCATTCCCTTTGCACCCATTCCCTTTGCACCCATTCCCTTTGCACCCATTCCCTTTGCACCCATTCCCTTTGCACCCATTCCCTTTGCACCCATTCCCTTTGCACCCATTCCCTTTGCACCCATTCCCTTTGCACCCATTCCCTTTGCACCCATTCCCTTTGCACCCATTCCCTTTGCACCCATTCCCTTTGCACCCATTCCCTTTGCACCCATTCCCTTTGCACCCATTCCCTTTGCACCCATTCCCTTTGCACCCATTCCCTTTGCACCCATTCCCTTTGCACCCATTCCCTTTGCACCCATTCCCTTTGCACCCATTCCCTTTGCACCCATTCCCTTTGCACCCATTCCCTTTGCACCCATTCCCTTTGCACCCATTCCCTTTGCACCCATTCCCTTTGCACCCATTCCCTTTGCACCCATTCCCTTTGCACCCATTCCCTTTGCACCCATTCCCTTTGCACCCATTCCCTTTGCACCCATTCCCTTTGCACCCATTCCCTTTGCACCCATTCCCTTTGCACCCATTCCCTTTGCACCCATTCCCTTTGCACCCATTCCCTTTGCACCCATTCCCTTTGCACCCATTCCCTTTGCACCCATTCCCTTTGCACCCATTCCCTTTGCACCCATTCCCTTTGCACCCATTCCCTTTGCACCCATTCCCTTTGCACCCATTCCCTTTGCACCCATTCCCTTTGCACCCATTCCCTTTGCACCCATTCCCTTTGCACCCATTCCCTTTGCACCCATTCCCTTTGCACCCATTCCCTTTGCACCCATTCCCTTTGCACCCATTCCCTTTGCACCCATTCCCTTTGCACCCATTCCCTTTGCACCCATTCCCTTTGCACCCATTCCCTTTGCACCCATTCCCTTTGCACCCATTCCCTTTGCACCCATTCCCTTTGCACCCATTCCCTTTGCACCCATTCCCTTTGCACCCATTCCCTTTGCACCCATTCCCTTTGCACCCATTCCCTTTGCACCCATTCCCTTTGCACCCATTCCCTTTGCACCCATTCCCTTTGCACCCATTCCCTTTGCACCCATTCCCTTTGCACCCATTCCCTTTGCACCCATTCCCTTTGCACCCATTCCCTTTGCACCCATTCCCTTTGCACCCATTCCCTTTGCACCCATTCCCTTTGCACCCATTCCCTTTGCACCCATTCCCTTTGCACCCATTCCCTTTGCACCCATTCCCTTTGCACCCATTCCCTTTGCACCCATTCCCTTTGCACCCATTCCCTTTGCACCCATTCCCTTTGCACCCATTCCCTTTGCACCCATTCCCTTTGCACCCATTCCCTTTGCACCCATTCCCTTTGCACCCATTCCCTTTGCACCCATTCCCTTTGCACCCATTCCCTTTGCACCCATTCCCTTTGCACCCATTCCCTTTGCACCCATTCCCTTTGCACCCATTCCCTTTGCACCCATTCCCTTTGCACCCATTCCCTTTGCACCCATTCCCTTTGCACCCATTCCCTTTGCACCCATTCCCTTTGCACCCATTCCCTTTGCACCCATTCCCTTTGCACCCATTCCCTTTGCACCCATTCCCTTTGCACCCATTCCCTTTGCACCCATTCCCTTTGCACCCATTCCCTTTGCACCCATTCCCTTTGCACCCATTCCCTTTGCACCCATTCCCTTTGCACCCATTCCCTTTGCACCCATTCCCTTTGCACCCATTCCCTTTGCACCCATTCCCTTTGCACCCATTCCCTTTGCACCCATTCCCTTTGCACCCATTCCCTTTGCACCCATTCCCTTTGCACCCATTCCCTTTGCACCCATTCCCTTTGCACCCATTCCCTTTGCACCCATTCCCTTTGCACCCATTCCCTTTGCACCCATTCCCTTTGCACCCATTCCCTTTGCACCCATTCCCTTTGCACCCATTCCCTTTGCACCCATTCCCTTTGCACCCATTCCCTTTGCACCCATTCCCTTTGCACCCATTCCCTTTGCACCCATTCCCTTTGCACCCATTCCCTTTGCACCCATTCCCTTTGCACCCATTCCCTTTGCACCCATTCCCTTTGCACCCATTCCCTTTGCACCCATTCCCTTTGCACCCATTCCCTTTGCACCCATTCCCTTTGCACCCATTCCCTTTGCACCCATTCCCTTTGCACCCATTCCCTTTGCACCCATTCCCTTTGCACCCATTCCCTTTGCACCCATTCCCTTTGCACCCATTCCCTTTGCACCCATTCCCTTTGCACCCATTCCCTTTGCACCCATTCCCTTTGCACCCATTCCCTTTGCACCCATTCCCTTTGCACCCATTCCCTTTGCACCCATTCCCTTTGCACCCATTCCCTTTGCACCCATTCCCTTTGCACCCATTCCCTTTGCACCCATTCCCTTTGCACCCATTCCCTTTGCACCCATTCCCTTTGCACCCATTCCCTTTGCACCCATTCCCTTTGCACCCATTCCCTTTGCACCCATTCCCTTTGCACCCATTCCCTTTGCACCCATTCCCTTTGCACCCATTCCCTTTGCACCCATTCCCTTTGCACCCATTCCCTTTGCACCCATTCCCTTTGCACCCATTCCCTTTGCACCCATTCCCTTTGCACCCATTCCCTTTGCACCCATTCCCTTTGCACCCATTCCCTTTGCACCCATTCCCTTTGCACCCATTCCCTTTGCACCCATTCCCTTTGCACCCATTCCCTTTGCACCCATTCCCTTTGCACCCATTCCCTTTGCACCCATTCCCTTTGCACCCATTCCCTTTGCACCCATTCCCTTTGCACCCATTCCCTTTGCACCCATTCCCTTTGCACCCATTCCCTTTGCACCCATTCCCTTTGCACCCATTCCCTTTGCACCCATTCCCTTTGCACCCATTCCCTTTGCACCCATTCCCTTTGCACCCATTCCCTTTGCACCCATTCCCTTTGCACCCATTCCCTTTGCACCCATTCCCTTTGCACCCATTCCCTTTGCACCCATTCCCTTTGCACCCATTCCCTTTGCACCCATTCCCTTTGCACCCATTCCCTTTGCACCCATTCCCTTTGCACCCATTCCCTTTGCACCCATTCCCTTTGCACCCATTCCCTTTGCACCCATTCCCTTTGCACCCATTCCCTTTGCACCCATTCCCTTTGCACCCATTCCCTTTGCACCCATTCCCTTTGCACCCATTCCCTTTGCACCCATTCCCTTTGCACCCATTCCCTTTGCACCCATTCCCTTTGCACCCATTCCCTTTGCACCCATTCCCTTTGCACCCATTCCCTTTGCACCCATTCCCTTTGCACCCATTCCCTTTGCACCCATTCCCTTTGCACCCATTCCCTTTGCACCCATTCCCTTTGCACCCATTCCCTTTGCACCCATTCCCTTTGCACCCATTCCCTTTGCACCCATTCCCTTTGCACCCATTCCCTTTGCACCCATTCCCTTTGCACCCATTCCCTTTGCACCCATTCCCTTTGCACCCATTCCCTTTGCACGCGCCAAAGGGGGAAGAAAGAAATGAACGACCAAGGGGCAGGGCGCTCACCTTGTTGCGCAGCATGGAGTCGAAGGTGTGAACGGCGGCCTGCCAGTCGCCCATGCGCGCGTGCGCGGACATGAGCGCTATGTACACGTGCACGTCCGGCTTGCACCTGCACGTGTGCACACAGGGCGCGGAGGGATGGGGGAGGCGGGGGGGAGCAGAGGGGGGGGAAGAGAGAGGAGGTTTGGGAAGGGAGGAGGGATGGGACGGCGAGAGGAAAGAGGGGAGGAGGGAGGGGAAAGAGGAAAGGGAGAGCAGGGGGAAGAGAAACGGGGGAAGAGGAGGGGGAAGAGGAAGGCATATAAGGAATAGGGAGATGAACCAGGGAAGACAAGGAGGGCGAGTTTAGGGATGGAGGGAGCTGCAAACAACATGATGACATAGGATCAAAATTTACATTTGTACGATGCGCCTGCAATAGATGCTTGCTTTTTCACGATCAAGGAAATGTGTTGGTTTGTATGATGCCATGTGCGTTTCCTGCCCCTTCCCCTACTCCTCGCAATTTCCCTTTCCCCCTACCCCCGCGCCCCGTCCCCCGTCCCGCCACCCCCCGGCCCCCCTCACCGCCACTCCAGCATCTCGCGGAAGAGCTCCCGCGCGCGGTTGACCTTGCGCGAGCGCGCGGCGAGGTGGATGAGGTGCGAGTAGATGGGCGGCTGCGCGCGGTAGCAGCGCTGCGCCTTCATCCACGCGAACACCTTGAGCGCCATGCGCAGGTCCCCGTGCGCCGACACGGCTTTAATCAGCGGAAGGAACAGCTTCCGGTTCTTGCGCCCGCTCCACCGGTTCAGCACGCCGTCCACGTCATCCCAGAAATTCAGCCGCATCACGCGCTCCACCACGCGATCCACGCTCTCCTCGCCTACCCCCCATCCCCGCTCCGCCTCCTCCGCAATTTGCTTCCCCTTCCGCCGTTTCCGCAGTTGCGACCTATCTACCCCCTCGTACGCTTTCCATTCCTTGCGCGCCCTCACCATGCTGCCACTGCCGCCCGCACCCAGTGACTCGCCACTCTCCTCGTTTGTCCTATCTGCACGTTCTCGAAACCCTGTTGTTTGTTCTCGTGTGTGCGCAAGGCTCCCGTTCCCCTCAGTACCGCGCCTACCCGCGTCGCTAGCATCACTCGCACTATCAAGCCCGCCGTTAGCTTGCGCCCGCCCACGTTGCGCAAAGTTTTCCCCTCTATTTGCCCCATCACCTCTCCCGCTTTCCCCGCCAATGCCCCCGCTGTCAGCACCGCTTCTCCCGTCATTCTCTACCCCCTTCCCCCTAACCCAACTCCGCTCCGATCCGCCCCTTCCGCTCCCCGTGACCTTCCCCAAGCTGTCCTGCGTTTCAGCCCGCGGTCCGCTGCTGGGAGCGGCATGCGCGGAAGCCGGGAGTGCTGCGGGGGGGAAAGGAGACGCGCGGGCGGGTGCGCGGTAGGCCCGCGGAGACGGTGGGGATGGCGGTGGGGATGATGAGCGCGGTCGGAAGGTAGGAGATAGAGCATGCGGAAGCGGATGTAGGGGGGCAGAGGAGGGAGGAGAAGGCGAGTGGGAGGGAGGAAAGGACGGGGAGGAGGGGGAGGCTGGATGTGGGGAAGGGGTGGCGGAGGAAGAGAAGGAGGGAGGGGAAGAGCAGCAGCGGACGGAGCGCGCGCGAGAGGTAAGCGGGGCGGGTAACGACGGAGACGGCAGCTGCGCGCCGGCGGTGCTGCGGAGTAGAAACCCGGAAGGCTTTTGTGAATTCTCAAAGGCAAACTGGTAGCGGGAGCGTGAACGCTGAGTGTGACGGACGAGCGCCGAGCGGGGAGAGCAACGGTGGAGAGTCACGAACGCTCTAGATCCAAGGATGCGTGGCGCATCGAAGCGCGATGAGGGGACTGGGGGTGCTAGCGTGGAAGCAGAGAAAGCCATGGAAGCGACTAGTACAAGTTGACGGGAGGAAACTGCAAGCGTAACTGGGATTCATGTGAGGGACTGACGAAGCGGAGCGAATCGCTCAAATTCTAGCCGTCCGTCGCACATCCTCGTGGCGTGGGACGAAGGTTGTGGCGCTGGAAATGCTAGCTCGGCACGTAGCGCTGCGCTGATGAGCGGGCAGGAAGCAGACACACAACACAATCCGTTTGCCTGATTAGTTTGGCCATATCAATTATGTACGCTTCTGCTGCTTGTACGCTGATGGTGCGTTTACTGAAACGAGTACAGCTGATGTGGCACGACTAGGTGATTGCTCTACTGTAGAAATCTACCAGGAAATCGTGTAGCCAATGACCAGTGCACCAACTGTGGGGCAGATCTTTCCGTCAAGCAAACGCATTTGCCACAAGCCTTTTGATTATACTACAGTAAAAAACGACACTTCTGTACCATAACCAGATTATAAGTACTTGATGATGTGTGAAATTCAGGCTTTTCACATTTGTAGGGCAAAATAAAGGAGAAAAAGGCACTACATGTATTGGGACCCAAAAAAAACAGATGAAATCCTCCTCTCTGGATGTTACGTATGCGAGAAGTGCAAATAGATCTCACTCTAGATTATGAGGGCTGGAGTAAAGAACGAAGGGCGAGAGTCTCAACTCAACTGACTATCCCTAGCGCATTTGCTCTCTACCGCGTTTGCTCATGAATTTTGGAGAGTTTTGCTCAATTCCGCGGAAGCGCGCTTTGTTTTATTATTGCCACGTGGCGTGCCTACGATCGCGCAAGCCGCGATCTGTTTTATTGTTATCACAATTTTCATGGCAAGTTTAGTGGATCACATGTACTGAGCTGCCCGCGGGCAAAACTAAAACCCGATTGGGCCTGGCATGTGTTAGGGAAGGAAAATTTGCGCGACGCGACAGATCCCGAACTTTTCTTAAACCCATCGACCAAGCTCGCACCACAGATAGGGCAATCCGAAACTCGGCCAAATGGAACGACTTACACGCGTTTCCACGTTATTGTCATGCTGCAAACGTTGTAGCTAGGCGTTACAGGTGCCATTTGGTTTTACGGTCAGAATCGCGAAATTACAGCTTGAGGTTCCGATTCTTCCAACATATATATTTGGTTTAACTACACGACGCTACCAAGTGAGTGAGCATGCTGACCGCGGGCAAAAAAAATAAACCCATGGCTTACGGCATGCCATTCGGGAGCCTCAACCCTAAAATTTTAGGGTTGAGGCTCCCGAATGGCATGCCATCCGGATGGGGTTTTTTTTTTCTTGCCCGCGCAATATATATTCCCGTAAACAAGAAACGTGGCACGCGCGCCAAACATAATCGCGCTTCCGAAACAATGACATCGAGAGGGACCACCGACTCTTACGCATCAGAATTGTCTGTCTTTATCGCAAAAGCGCGTGTAGGTCGATCCATTCGGCCGAGGTTCGGATCGCCCTACCTGCAGTGCGAGCTTGGTCGATGGGATTGAGAAAAGTTCGGCGCCTGTCGCATCGCGCAACTTTTCCGTTAGGGAGGCATCAACCCTAAACCCATTGCCTCTATGTTTTTAGGGTTGATGCATCCCTAACCCATGCCCGGCCCAAATGGGTTTTATTTTTGCCCGCGGGCAGCGCAGTACAAGTGACCCTGTAAAACTTAACTAAAATTCCCTTGAAATTTGTGGGAAAAATAAAACAGATCGCGGTTTGCGCGATCGTAAGCACGCCACGTGGCGAAAATAAAGCGAAGCGCGATTCCGCGAAGTTAAGCAAACTCTCTGAATTTTGACTTTCGCGCTTGGCTCTGCAACGTGTATTTCGTGTCGCCCACGCCCAGCCTGTCACAACGTCTCCCGCCAAAATCCGTTTACAATACCGCGACTTGGTACGCCCAAGCTCACACCTCGGGGTCATCTCACCACCAACAGAGTGTTTCACTGCACAGCAGAGCACAGCAGCCAACCAGCCCAATTTTCCCTCGCTCTGCCTTTTCCCATTTCCATTTCCAACCCTGCCAGACCCCCTTTGGCATTCTGCCTTCACCTCTCCCTCTCTCGCCTTCTTTCCCTCCCTCGATCCCTTATTTCCTTCGACATCATCCCACCACCCTCGCACACACACACACACACACACACACACACACACACACACACAAATCATCCGCACGCCGCCTAATCTGTGGGTTCCCTGTTGTTTGCGCGACTCGAGCAACCCACACGGATTTCACAACGTGACGCTTCTCCTGCTCCCCCTCATTATCATCATTCCTGTTTTGCCTCTGTAGGCGTTTTGTGCTGCCACCTCCCAACATCACCACCGCAACATAGCTTTGGAAGAATACTTTCGTCCTTCCTGTCCTAATTGAAACAGCCTTACCACTCTATTCTCATTGCACCCTGTGCCCCGAAGGAGTAACAGTAGCTCCAGGTACTACCTGCCTCTCCCACATTGGACATTCAGACGACGTTCCGTCCTTCATAGTTGTAGTCTTACACGCACTGCAGCTTTCTTCCCACTTTGTAGTGATTTTAACTCACCCGCACTGTTGGCAACTCTGCAACCCTGACCGCTTGCCTTATATAGACAAAAGCAGCAACAAAAAGCACCAATAGGGTAAAGTAACCACTTGCCATTTATCAGCTCATAGAGCGAAGCGCGAGGCCATGGGTAAAGGAGGAGGCTGCTTTCCTAGCAAGAGCAAGACTAAAAAACCCGACGACGGAGCCCCCCCTGCTGAACCTTCAGCACCAGAACCAGCTGCTGCTGCCACTTCAGCCGAACCAACAGCCGCACCAGCCGCAGCAGATGCAGCAGCCGCAGCAGCAGAGCCAGCAGCAAGCACGGCTGAGGCTGCGGGTGCGGCTGGTACCGAAGCACCCAAGGCTGAGGCGGAGGCGCCGCCGGAAGGCACCACCACAGCTGCGAAACCTGATGAGCCTGCAGCTGCGGAGGGATCGGCTCCTGCTGCCCCTGTTACAGAGGAAGCTGCTCCGGTAGAAGCAACACCAGCTGCTGCAGAGCCGGCTGCAGCGGAAGCAGCACCAGCTGATGCCGCAGCCGCCGCCGCCGCAACCGAAGCAGCGGCGCCATCCAGCGAAACCCCCGCGACTGGTAGCGGGGATGTTTCCAGTGCTGTAGCTGCAGCTGATGCAGTCGCACCCGGAGAGACCCCCCCAGCGGAGTCCGGACCTTCAGCTGTACCTGTGCCCGAGGCTGCAGTTGTACCTGTGCCCGGACCTACAGCTGTACCTGTGCCCGAAGCCGCCGAGCCTGTTCCGGAGCCGTCTTTTAGCGAACCTCCAAGTGCTCCGGAAGCAGTCGCGGAAGCTGCTGCTGCGCCAGCGGCGGTGGAGACGGTGGAAGCGGGCGAAGAGAAGGCGGCACAGGCGGAAGGTATGCATCAAACAGGAAACGGCTCAGTCAGCCGTGCTGAGTAGTCCGTTGAGCACCTTGGCAGTGCCGGCTGTGTGTTGGGAGGAGAATGCACGCAGGTAGGCACTACATCCAGGCTGGTAATATCCTGCATGGTTTGTGATTTGGGAATCCTGGTCTGTTGCGAAGGTAAGGGATGCCAAAGGAGGTGTATTGCAGAGGCGAGGGAGTTTGCGGGTTCGAGAGTGATTGGGGTAGGCGTACGCATGAGGAGTGATAATAGCCTGTCTGCTATTTCCTGTCTGTCCAACTCTCGCTTCGATCTTCTTCCTGTGCCGTCTTCCCGCGGTTGGCCGGCCTCCCGTCCATAAGACGGCGACGCTCACACCCGGCCTCTTCTCCTTCTCGCGCCGATGTCTTTTTTTCTTCACGCATTCTTCCCTCATCCGTCGTCCCGTCGTGCGTGCGTGCGTGCGTGCGTGCGTTTGTGTGTGTGTGCGTGTCCACCCTCAATGCCTGCAGTTGTGCCCCCGCCATCCGACACAGTCAAGGTCTACATTGTGTAAGTCGCCGTGCCGTGCAGTCCTTCACCGTGCCGTTCCGTGCCGTGCCGTTTATTCCGTGCCGTGCCTTCCCTTTCCGTGCCGTGCCGTTTATTCCGTGCCGTGCCGTCCCTTGCCGTGCCGTGCCGTGCGATGCGATGCCATGCCATAGATACACCGTTCGGTTTCCCCTGTCATTGTGATGCCCTGCAAAACACAATCATCCAATCACGTGGCTTCCTTCATGTCCCACTCGACCGCCAACCTCTGTGCCTCGATTCTCCATTCCGTCATTCTGCCTGCCTGCCCGCCTGCTGCCCTGCGCCGGTGCTCTCGTGCGCGGCAGCTTCTATTCGATGTACGGGCACGTGCTGTCCATGGCGCACAAGGTCAAGGAGGGCGTCGACAGCGTCGACGGCGCGCAAGGCTTCCTCTTCCAGGTGCGCGCATGTCTCCCCTGGTCCCGCCTCGCCCCGCCCCGCATTGCCTCGCCTCGCCTCCCCTCGCTTCCAGATTTCCTCGTGTGCGCGCAAGTGATTCGTCCTCTAGGAGCCGCAGTTAAAGGCCTTGTTTTTCTAGGAGCCGCAAAAAAGCCTAGAGTCCTGGCGAGGGTAGGCGCGCCGAGCTTGTCCCCTCTCCCAACCCGACCCCCCCCCTTCCCCCCCTCCTCCCCCTCAGGTGCCCGAGACTCTCCCCGACGCGGTGCTGGCGAAGATGGGGGCGCCGGCTAAGCCGCTGGACATCCCGGAAATCACGCCCAAGGCGCTCTTCGAGGCGGACGCGATCATCTTCGGCTTCCCCACGCGCTTCGGCATGATGTGCGCGCAGATGAAGCAGTTCCTCGACGCCACGGGCAGCCTGTGGCGCTCGCAGGCGCTGTCCGGCAAGCCCGCGGGGTTCTTCTTCAGCACGGGCACGCAGGGCGGCGGACAGGAGACCACCGCGTGAGTGCGGGGAGGGGAAGGGATGGGGACACCAGGTTCAGGTCCGGAAGGTGGAGCGGGGGGACAAAGTGGGGTTTCCCTCGTTTGGTTGTGCACTGGAATGTGAGGCCACTTCTCACACGTCAATGTCGCTTAACCACTGTGCTTATCTCTTCCCTTCCCACCACCCACTCATTCATGCACCGCTCCCCACCCATTCACGCACCTGCTCATTCACCTAACCACACACCCACAGGAATCACGTGCCCCTTTCTGTTCGCCCCAACACCCTCCTTTCCCACCCCATTTCGTTTTCCATCTTCCAGCGTGAGCATCTGGCAGCGGGCTATCCTCGGTCGTGGTGCTACACGTTACACACAGTCGGACCTTACTGAGGCTGTTCATATTGCCCATCCCCTTCTCCCTCCTCCCTCCCCGTTCTTTCTTCCCTCCCCATGTATCCCTCCCTCCCTCGTTTCGTCCCCTCCATCCCCACCCCCACCCCCACCCCCAACCCCACCTCCTCCCCTCCCCCCCCCCCCCGGCTCCCACCCGCGCCCCGCTCGCCCCACCTCTCTCGGTGTGTTCCCCCAGGCTGACGGCGATCAGCCAGCTGGCGCACCACGGCATGATGTACGTGCCAGTGGGGTACACGTACCAGGGGCTCTTCAACCCCGAGGTGCACGGGGGCTCGCCCTACGGCGCCGGCACGTACGTGGCGGACGGCAGCCGCAACCCCAGTGAGCTGGAGCTGGAAATGGCTGCGCATCAGGGCCGGCTGACTGCCATTGTGGGTGCCAAGCTCAAGAAGGGATCGCTGGCTGAGGATGCGGAGGAGGGGGGTTGATTGTTTGGGTTGGCGAGGCGGTTGTGGGAGAGAGGGATGCAGTGTGGTGGGAGGAGGGGTGGGGGAAGTGTGGGGGGAAATAAGGTGGATTGCAGGTGGAAGTTGGATGCAGAAGGTAAGGTTAGTGTGGGAACTTGGGGTGCTTTTGTGTTCCTTCTGAATCACGTGAGAAAGGAGTCTGCCTGATGATCTTTGCCTATCTGTGGATCAAACAAATTTGGCACGATCTAGCAGATATTGCCGGTAGAAGAATGTTTTAATGAACGTGGCTTTTCTAACATTCTGGCAGAGCATATTATGCCTGCTTGAGCTTCCTAACTTGGACGAGCTTGCTGGTTACCTCATAGCCTATAGCAAGAATCTGGGTTGTGAGAGAGTGAGGAAATAGTTGATGTAAGTAGTGACTGATTATTGTGAGATGTGTTTATTGCACTAGTGGCTGATTTTTTTCAATGTGGGGAGCCATGCGTGCTTTGTGATCAACACCGTTCACATAGGTTCTGGTCAATAATACCTTAAGACCTGACGAGGTACTGTACTGTATGAATTTGCACAACAGCAATTATAACATGACTGATGTTATTCTTCTACTAAATGATATGGGTAATTGTAATCTGGGCACGTTTGCCCATAACGAGATTGTGGCGCTTTCGGTGCACACTACAGTACAGTGCACAGTTCAGCCCGTGTTTCATCGCCTAACAAAATCTACCCCTATCCAAGTCACGATACACAATTGGTTTTGGATTTCAGGCTGCCCAAACTTTCGAAACTGGTCCGCCATGACAGCTTTCGAATCCTGCCTGCTGTCCCTTCGATCTGCATGAGGTGGCGTGGCGTCCAAAATATTCTTGCTCCGCTGGACCGACACGAAGAAAAGTTGCAAAACATGAACTTTTGCCCCGTCCAGGGGACAGACCGACCAAACCTTTCCCGCCGTGGTCCCAGTTCGTTTCGGGCTGCCCTACCATTCAAGAAACCACTCATTCCGTAAGTGTCAGCGGAGAAACAAATATGCAAACCCAAGCGTGTAAATGCTTGGTCCTCGCCCAAGGTGCCGGCAGCAGGTCATACAAAAAAAAGGGCCCCACCCTCACGTGATCCGCACAAGCCAAAACCTCAAGTGGCGGGAGGTTCGTAGGACACATCCACCAGCATGGTGTTACAGTATCTGTGATGAGCTGTCTGGAATCCAAATTCCATCGGCATTGCACCTTTCACTGCTCACTCACGGGTACAGTACGGAATCACAACGAGTCAAATGATGACAGGGAAGAAAATGCGTGTGTACTTTTTTTCCCAACCTCCCACGTGACTGCTACGGGCAGTGGCCAATGTGGTGGCAGCATTATCTTTTTTCGCCTCACTTTTGCCTCAGTCCGCGACTTATGGATCTTTTCTTCCCGCGAGAAACATGCCAGCCCGGCCCAGCCATGCCTGCGGCTTGCTTTGCTTTGGTTGCTGCTTCCTCACCATCCTACTGTACAGATCAGCATTATCGGTGTGGCTTTCTGTTGTCAAAACGGAAAATCTTTTTGCTTGTTTCCGCAGCTTGCATCTCAGATTCCCTGCGGTTTAGGTCAGCTTGGACTGCTGAATCTGTGCTGTCCATCCCTCCAGCTACATCAACATTCCTTAGGATGTGTATGATTTTTTTCTAGGTTCATAAATCAGGTCGAATTTGGTCTGGTTACCTTCTCCGTTAATTTCGCGAAAACTTTGTGACGAAAGACTTTCCTTCAGAAGAGGTGACAAATTCGACCTAAGTTTTCCAAACTCGCCTCGAGTAAATGCATTAATGTGGGCGCGAACAGTGAACCGAACGTGTGTGGTTTTGCGCACGTACGACAAGTAACGATGTTTTGCGAGATTTCGCGACGCTATTTAACCCTCGACGAAATTCGCAGTCAGTAATTCGAAGTGGCGCGATTTCTACAAAATTATACCTGGTAACTTCAATCTCCTACGAGCGGCTCGGCTTAGCCCCTATAAGGTCGAACATTCAAATTCGACCTTGGGTGTGTGATTGACCTACTTGAAATTCTCCCGCGCGGTTCAAACTTCACGTTCAACGGAAGTCGAACACTGTTCGGCTCAAGTTCAGATGCTACATTCGACCAAAAAAATGTAAACTTTGCCATTTTCAAAAATCATACACGTCCTTATCGGCGCACAATCTACTCGGAATTGAACCCTGCGCTCGTTCCGACCTAGTTGTCTTGCCTTGCTCCCGATTAGGTCATGCCATAGGAGAACCTTCGTCACATATTTTCAGCTCGGCTCCGTGATTGAGCGTCCTCGGTTCCGTGATAGAGCGCTCACGTCACATCACAACCACTGGCAGCGTGACGACAACTTGGAGCCGCGGCATAGCGCTCAATAAGAACCATCTTAATCTAAGGTCACAGAATTCGAACCAACGGCGACTACTTCAAGTTGTGGTCAGTCAAGTCGTGCAAATCTCCGCGTAACACAATCTATACAGCCTGTACAGTGCCTGGGGTCAGACCTGAGGTCGTAGTGGAGCCTTTCATCGTGGTCACGGTTGGATCGACTAAACGATACACGCGGGCATCCATATGATGGAAAGCGTATTAGCTCACGCGCACGACACGGTTCTCTCGCAACCCGTCGACCCGCGCCGTTTTTCCCTCGTCAAATCGCGACCCGAGAGGCCGGCGGCATCAACGGCGGTCGGCGCAGATTCCGCTGACGGGCCGGTGGAGTCAACGGTGGGAATTAATTCCCGCCGTGCGCTATGCCGCGATGGCGCGGAACAGCCTGCTCGGGACGCGGAATTGCTGGAGGTGAGGGGGGATCTTGGCGCAGCGAGGGATGTGGCGGCTGGAGCGGAGCGGAGAGAGCGCAGCGCGGCGGAGCAGCAGGCGCAGGCGGAGCTGTGCGGCCGGTCGCTCTTAACACCGAGCGGCGGATCGGCTTCGATGGTGGCCGAAGTCCGGCCTGGGGTTGCGCGCTCATGCGTCGGCGACAATGATGGCGGCGCGCGGAAGAAGCGGAAGAGGTGAGTCTTTGGCGAGCAGAAGCAGCAGCACGAGGAGAGCTGCGACGCGTTCTTCCTTCCCCACGCTTTCTCTTCCTCCACCGCATCCAAAATAGCGCAAATCCTTCTTACTCTTCTTTCACATACACCCCGGGAGCCACCCCGCTAAGCCTCTAAAAAATTCTTCTCAATGCCTCCTATCGCGCGCCTCCTTTCCGCGCAGTTTCTGCAGCGCCGAGCCGTTCGATCTGCCGGCGCTGCTGCGGCCGCGTCCCCGGAGCGAGTCGGATTCAGCGTGTCTAACGTCAGCGACGCCGCCGCCTCAGCGGCAGCGGCGGCGCTTACCCTCCGTTGCTTCTTCTGCTGCTGCTACCAGCAGCAGTACTACCTGCGCGGCGGCCATCCGTCAGTCCAGGATGACGGCTGGCGCGTTAGAACTGGCACGGCCTGAGGTTCTCACTCAATCCCTCGATTCCGCGCATGTTTCCCCCGATTCGCGGCATCCCCCTTACAGCCAACCGCCTCCCCAGCCACCGCTATCCCCGCTACTCGCGACCTCCCCGTCGCGCCTCTCACGCGTTTCCACCCCACAAACCATGCTCCACCTCGCGACGGCCACCGCACCCCACACCGCAACCACCACCCCTACCACCCCCGCCTCCCCAACCACCGCTATCCCCGCTCCCCATCGGAGGCATGATCTTGATCATGATCTCCCCGCTAGGAACCCGTTCGGATCCGCGCAACTCCCGCGGAAGCTGGTCATTCCCCCCCTCCGCCCGCCGCAGTTGCGCTACTCGCGGCCCTCCTCCGCCGTCGCGTCGTCGTGGGACGTCCCCCCGTTCTCCTCCAAGCGCCAGTGCCTTCCCGCGCGGAACGCGGAGGCGCGCGGAGGTTCCGCGCGTGGGGAAGCGCTGAGCGGAGGGACGAGGGAAGGGGATGGGAAAGGTATGGGGGGGGTATGGGAAACGTGTGGGGACGAGGATTGGGAGGGGGGCGGGGTTGATGGGAGTGCCCTGGGGGACACATGGGGGGAATATGATGGACGGAAGGAGAGGGAGGGGGGAGGGGCAGAGGAGGCGGAGGGGGAAGTTGAGGGGGGAAGGGTGGGAATGTTGATTCGGATAGGGGAGTGTATGGGTAGCAATGGTGATCTAGGGTTGGTGTCAGGGTCAGTGGGTAATGGCATGGATGGTTGCGAAAGCAGACAAGAGCCGATGTGTCGAAGGCAGGCACAAGAGGAATGCCGGCATTGTCACCAGCATAATCATCCGCAGCAGCAGCAGCAGCAGCAGCAACAACAGGAGCAAAAGCAGCACCTCTTGCAGCAGCAACCCTGCTCCTTGTACGGCGGCTGCAGCAGCAGCAGGCGAATAAGCAGTGACGCGGGCAGCTCTGGCCGCACCATCGAGGCTGGTGGCAAGGGAGCGGCAGAAACGCAACCAATAGCGAGGCGAGTGAGGAGCAGAGAGATGGGAAGGATGGTGTTCACTCAGGAGGCGTTGCAGCTGCGGCTGCACAAGCACCATCACAGCAAGAACGAGCTATTTTCGCAATGGAAACAGTGGATAAAAACAGGATCGGAGAAGGAAGAGGAGGGTGGTGATATTGGCATGTTCGTGAGAGACCCTCAGAGATGCCCCGAGTTTGTTCTCTCTTCCGGGCGATCGCTCTCCTCAGGCAGAAACCCTGCATCGTCGCCCTCCGTCCCTCCACCCTCCATTCCATGTGACTGTGTCCCTTCGCGCACACGCCATCACGTCTCTCGCTATTCCTGCTGCCGTGCGGACTGCCTGATCCAAGCAGCTAGGCCGTTGACTATTGATGGCGAGTTTGAGCAATTCTTTTCCCAGCTCTTTCTCTGATCCCAGCTATTATGCATTACAGGAACGTGCATTGCCGTTTAGGGTAATTGACTGGTGGCGCTGCTCTGTCCCACACTTGCAGATATCTTATGTATAGTTGTTTTGAGATGTATATTGGCTGGCTATGCCTGCATCCTACTACTACAGAGTTTGGGTTGGTTCATTCAAAAATAATTGTAAATTTTCGATTAAACAGAAAACCAGTACATGGGAATAGTTATTGCCCTTTATAGACAGGCGGAATGAAAGATCACAGACGAAGGAAATGAGAGAAGTGGAATATTGGCTTGGTCAAATATCTCTCCTAAGCCTTGTGTTTTTCTTTTATCCGTAACACTGCGCCAAGCTCAATGTCTAGGTTCGTGAATGTCGGTCTGTTCAGAAGCAGCATATCCCCGTACGACGTGGCGGCCCGTGATGACCACACAGAATCCCAACCGCTTCGGGTGTTCCCCAGCTCCCCCCAATCAGATTGCGGGCGGTAGCCTCGTTTCTCTCTGGTGTGGAGTCTCACCAGAATCCAGTCCAGGGTCTGGCTTTGTGCGTCAGCCCGAGGCTGTACTCTTCTCCCGAACTTACTTTCCATACCTTCCACCTGTGAATCAAACCAAACATATCCGCGTTACAGAGTCCCCCATCTGCGAGCCAGGACTCAAACCTGCCCCGCCTGCTGCTCACGGGAAGCATTCACAGTTGACTCACCTGCTGCCACTCAAAACACGTTCGTGCACTTCGCTTCAAGAATTCAGTCACCTCGTCGTGAATTGCCAAGGTTCTTCTTTCATCAGCAGCAGCAGCAGCAGCGGCGGCAGAGACCTTCAATTCTTCGTCGCTGCTGTTCTTCTGTTGTGTCTGCTGCCTCTCGTCGCTCCATTCTGCCTCCCAGTAATCCAGCGCCATGGCGGCACTCGCACGCTCAGCCACCGCCTTGTGCGGCGCCACGGGGCTCCACAGCGCAGCGACGGAGCCTCACCGTCGCGCACACCAGCACAACCTCTGCGCCAATCCCCCGTCAAAATTCCCCTTAACCACTCGCTCCAGCCCGCGCCAGCGACGCGGTTCGCGCGCCGCGCCAGTGACGGTCTCAGCATCGGCAGCAGCAACAACAGCAGCAGCAGCAGCAGCAGGAGCGGGCGAGGGAGGCGAAGGAAGTGGCGATGGATAACGGCATTGTAGAGGGGCCCGCGGTGCGGGTGCTGGGCAGCGTAATGACCGACGAGACTGTTCCCGAGGGTCACCAGGGACTCCACGGGTTCCTCTACGGCTCGCAGGGCGCAGGTATTTCCTAGTCTCAGCCATTTCCTTGTCGACTTGAACAGCTGTGCACGACGGGTTCTTTACGGTTCTCCGTGCAGAGCGCCGCGGGTGGTACGGGGAATTGGTGTCAGAATCGCGAGAATGCTAATCATTGTGTGGGAATTGAGGGAAGGGACAGTTGGAAACGAAGAAGAGGCAGGGTTAGCGATTTTGAGAGCTTTTAAGGTTTCGGTTTGTGAAATTCTGTAGGGTTATGCATCCTCCGCCTCCCTCCTCTATCTACTATCCCCTTTCTCACTCCCTTCCCTCATGTATCCCCCTTCTGTTCTCTCTCTCTCTCCCTTCTCCCCCCTCTCCTCTTTCCTCTCCGCTTCTCTCCGCCACAGACGTGCACGACGCGCCGTCGCAGTCGTACGCGTTACAGCAGGGCGAGGACGACGGGTCGCTGCAGCTGCCGCTCTCCGACTACGTCGCGCGCCGCGAGACGCTCAAGCTCGCCGGAATCTACGCCGTGTACGACGCGGCGGGCGCGCTGCAGTACGTGGGGTTCAGCCGCAGCATCGTGCTCGCGCTCAAGGGCCACGTGGCGTTCGTCGGCGCGGAGCGCGCGAGCAGCGTGCGCGTGCGCGTGTACAGCGACGCGGCGATGATCACGCGCGCGCGGCTCGAGGAGGAGCGGCAAAAGTGGATCCCGCAGCTCATGGCGCTGTCCGGTGCTGCTGATTCGCAGAAGCTTCCTCCCGGCAACAGCGCTGACCTGTACGTACCCATTCCTTACTCAACCTTCGTCCTTCCACCCTGCATGCACAACCCCTCACACCCTCCCACGCTCCCCACTTCCCCCCTCTTCCTTTCCCCTTTCCCCATCCACCCCTTCCCGATTTCCTGATTCACAACTGTCCCGCCCTCGCTTTACCGTTTTCCATTGATTGAATTGGGCCTATGTTTGCCTCGAGTCATGTTGTCACTGCTCTCGAGTCTCACTCACTCCGCTTCTTCCTCCCTCTCCTCCCCTCTTCATCCTTCTTCCCCCTTGCCCTCTTCCCCCCCCGCTCTCTTTCATTCCCCCCGCCTTCTCTCCCCGCGCTTGCTTCCCCCTCTCTCCCTCCCCCCCCTTCCCCCCTCCGCGCGCGCATGGCCAGCGCGGAGTGGGAGGGGCCGAGCGGGCCGGGCACGGCGGCGATGAGCGCGGCGGAGATGGCGGAGTACGAGGAGAAGAAGCTGAAGCTGCGCAAGGCCATGGGGGAGAACCTCGCGGACGACGTCGAGGACGAGACGGAGGACGCGCGCACGCGCCGACTCAACCTGCTCAGAGTGAGAGAGCCAGCAGTCGAACGCACGCATGCACGCACGCACGCACGCACGCACGCACGCACGCACGCACGCACGTTGCTTGCTCTGCCCGGACTGAGCGCGCTTCTTGGCTTTTCTCTCCCCTCGTCCCCCTCCAACCCTTCCTTAGTTCAATTCTCCCCCTCGTTGCCTCGCATTCACTCTCCCTTCCTGGCCTTCACCCCTACTCCGCCCACTCCTCCCTTCGACTAACCTCTCCTCTTCTCTCCTCTTCCCCTACTCTTTCTCTCGCTCTCTCTGTCTCCCCCATCCTTTTTCCTCTCCACATCTCCCAACTCCTCCCCACCGTCCCCTCCTCAACCCGCCCAGGCCACGGAGGGCGACGACTGGAGCGCCGTGATCAACAGACAGACAGCCTCCACTCTACCCGCGGACGCCACTCCAGTCGCAGCATCAGCAGCAGCAGCAGCAGGAGCCACAGACTCTGCCACGGGCGCTATCGTGAGCCCGTTTGCACGGGGCGCGGGCAGCAAGGGGGGCGTGAAGGAGGAGGTGGAGATGACGGTGGCGGCGGTGGATGCGGCGTTGGAGGCGGTGCGGCCGTACCTCATTGCGGATGGCGGCAATGTGGAGGTGGCTGGGATCAGCAATGGCGTCGTGTCTGTCCGCCTGCAGGGTGGGTGCTGCTGCTGCTGCTGCTGCTGATGATGATGTGGTGATGGTGGTGGTTATGGTGATGGTGATGGTGGTGATGGTGATGGTGATGGTGATGGTGATGGTGATGGTGATAATCGTAGTAAAAACTGGCGATGGACGTATGATTAAGTTCACAACCAAGACCAAGTGCTTCACTATCCCCTCTGACTACCAACCCCCCTCTTCCCATTCGCACACACACCCGTGACCCTCTTCTCCCACAGGCGCGTGTGGCACGTGTCCCAGTTCCACCTCGACCATGAAGATGGGCATCGAGGCGGAGCTGCAGCGCTGCTTCCCCACACAGCTCAAGGAGGTCGTGCAAGTGGATGTCATCGACACCTCTGTCACCGTTGCCGTGAGTACCGCACACCACCACATGCATGCATCTCTCGCTTCTGCTGCTTTTGAGGCGCCTTAGAAGCAGACCTCCCCACACAGCTCAAGGAGGTCGTGCAGGTCGATGTCATCGACACCTCTGTCACTGTTGCCGTGAGTACCGCACACCACCTTTGAGTACCATTGCCGTCAAAGGTTTTGGGGCCTTTTCAAAAGTTGAGCACCAAAACTCTCTCCTCTCATGCTCTCATGCCCATACATGCGCATACATGCACCTTTTTGTTGCAGTCCGCGCTTTCTCCTCTTCCTCCCCCCCCCACGCCCCCACTACCCCATTTCCTTTTCACTGCCGTCTCACAGCTCTTTGAACCTTCTTCCTAGTCCATGCCCTGCCATGCCCATCAGTGGGTTTGGAGGGGGCGGCTGATAATGATGATGATGATGATGATGCACAAGCAGCAGAGCACCCTTCTCTTGTCTTCTCTTACTCTCTTGTCTCCCACGACACCCCTTCCCATTGCCTCTCATCGTCCCTAACTTCCCTCTCGTGGTCCCCCGCATCCCTCGCTTCCCACTACCCCCACCATCCATCCTCAACAGTCAGTGGACAGGCATCTGGACACACTGCGGCCGGTCATCAGTGGGTTTGGAGGCCGCGTGCAGGTGGTGCGCTGGCAGCGGAAATAACCCTCTTTTATCATCAACCCCCCACATCCCCATCCACGCATCCCTCCTCCGTCCCTCAACAGTCAGTGGACGGGCATCTGGACATGCTCCGGCCCGCCATCAGTGGGTTCGGAGGCCACGTGCAGGCGTCGCTCTGGCAGTCTATCTTATCTTCACTACTTCACATCCCGCACCATCTCTCCCTCTCTTCCTTCCCTCAACAGTCAGTGGACGGGCATCTGGACATGCTGCGGCCGGCCATCAGTGGGTTCGGAGGCCGCGTGCAGGTGTTGGAAGTGAACGAGGCGGAGGGCACGTGCCGTGTGGCGTATGAGGGCCCTCCCACTGTCGCCATGGGCATCCAGGCTGCTATCAAGGACAAGTTCCCTACTCTGAAAACTGTGGAGGTTGTTGGGTTCGCGTAAGCGTAACAGGCGGAACATAATCGCCTGCTGGTAGACCTCTCGATTTTGGTTTTTTCCTTGTTGATGTATGTACCGCACCACATTTCATGGACACTTTGTGCCAAAAGATTGAAAGAACAGAAACATAGTTGCCAACAGTACCACAAGTGTTATTCGCGACTAACGTAGTTGCTAACTCTTGGTTGACAAGGTGATGTGAGAAAAGACACCCAGAACTCAGTGATCCGTGACATGAAGCAGCAATACTGTAATAGGTAATGAACAGTGTGAATTAATACAGTTCTTGTCACATTGTTCAGAACCCATAGTAAATACCCACTACCTACGTACCTCCTAACACCACCCATAACAGGGTGTTTCGGGTTCAGAGAAGTCAGAGGTCAAGTCTGCACAAACCAACTTGCAATTGGCGGCGTACAAGGTACCTGCCGGTAACTCCCTACTCTGAACCGTATAAACACACTGCACCACTGTACCCAGTCCACATCAGCATCAGTAGTTGAAGCTGACATTGATCAGCAGCAGCAGCAGCAGCAGCGGCGGCAGCAGCTGCTGCTGCTGCTTCAAGGGCTAGTCCTCCCCAGCATCTGAAACCTTTCCACCCACAACACCCATGGCACGTATGCCATTGCCATGCCCCTGCTCTGGCACTGCGGCACTAAGCTTACCACCACCACCACCACCGCGTCCTCCCCTCCTTCCCCGCGCTGCTCTCCCTCCCCCTCTTCCGCCATGCATTTTGCTTCCACGGCTCAGCACATTCCCTCTGATGTTCTCCCTCCAGCCTTCCCCCTGCTGTCCTCCTTGCAGCTGGGGATTCCCATCCCTGCTACCACCATCACCACCATCGTTACCCTGCACAGTCCCCGTATCATGCCCTCCCGCACCGTTTGTTGCTGCTGCTGCTGCTGATGCTGCTGCTGGTGTTGCTGACGCTGCCGCTCCACGAACACCAGCAGTAGATGCAGTAGCAGCTGCACCGTCAGACGCACCAACAATAGCAACAGCAGCAGCAGCAGCAGCAGCAGCAGCAGCAGCAGCAGCAGCAGCTGAAGTCAGGTCAGGCCTGCCTGCTCCACCTCCACCCGTCCTTGCTACCACTGGCTCTGACCCCCGCCGTGCCTTGCTTGGGGCACTCGGGGCATGTACCACTACACTTGAAGCACTGGGAGCATTTGAAGCACTTACAGCACTTCCAGGAGCAGTCCTCACAGCACCATTGGCGATTGAAGTCCCTACCACAGGGCCGTTAGCAGTGGAGGGAGGAGCACCGTTAGCAGAAGTAGATGCAGGCAAGCTCCTGCCAAGAGCAGCACGAGTGTTATCCGATCCTTGGTGCCTCTCCCCTGCTGCACTCCCCACAGCCTTGCTGCTGCTGCTGCCAAGGAAGCTGGTGGAAGCAGAACTACTGGCCGAAGCAGGGGTGGTGCTGCTAGGGTGGTGGTGAGAGGAGGAGGAGGAGGAGGAGGAGGAGGAGGAGGAGGAGGAGGAGGAGGAGGAGGAGGAGGAGGAGGAGGAGGAGGAGGAGGAGGAGGAGGAGGAGGAGGAGGAGGAGGAGGAGGAGGAGGAGGAGGAGGAGGAGGAGGAGGAGGAGGAGGAGGAGGAGGAGGAGGAGGAGGAGGAGGAGGAGGAGGAGGAGGAGGAGGAGGAGGAGGAGGAGGAGGAGGAGGAGTGCGAGAGGCGGGTGTGGGGAGAGGGGCGAGGGGGGGACGTGTTGCTGTGAGGAGGTGGGTGCGGGAGAATGAGGGGATAGGGAGGAGACGAATGGTGGTGCTCGTTTGGTTGGTCGCTGGGCGGTAGGGAAATGCCAGCACCAGCACCGCCACTAGCACCACCAGCACCAGTAGCAGCAGAAGCAGCAGCGGCAGCAGCAGAGACAGCAGCAACAGCAAGGGTGGCGTTTCTTCCGCTAGAGCTACCTCTTCCATTAGCAGCATCACCACCCGCAGCAGCAGCAGCAGCAGCAGCAGCTCCATCAAAAGCTGCCCCCTTTTTCAGCCCCAAAATTGCCTCTTTGCCTCCACCGACTTTGCCTCCACCGTCCAGCCGCTCCATGTGCACTCCACTCACTGTCCCACGGCTTGCCCTTCCCCCCTCCCCTCCTCCCCACCCCCCACGCCCTCCCCCTCTCTCTCATGCATACCCACATGTGCTCGGCGAGGGGAGAGAGACACAGTGGGGCGGGGAGGGACGCGAGGGGGGTGGGGGGAATAGGAGAGGGAGGTGGTGGGGTGAGTTGGAGGGGAGAGGAGGAGTGAGGGAGTGGGGAGTGAGGGAGTGGGGAGTGAGGGAGTGGGGAGTGAGGGAGTGGGGAGTGAGGGAGTGGGGAGTGTGAGCTGGGGTGGGGAGGGGGAGGATGAGGGAAGAGGGGAGGGTTTTGGGTCAAGAGAGGCGAGACGATGGGGTTGCAGGCTGAGGGATTGCAAACTGCTGCTGCTGCTGCTCCTGCTGCTGCTGATGCTTGTGTTGACGCTGGTAATGTTACCGTTGCCATTGCCGGCGGAGGCGGCGGTGGTGGTGGTTGTGGTGGCGGCGGCGGAAGCAGCAGCAGGAGATGTCGGATTCAGCTTCCCTTGAACCAGGGGTTGGCTGCGGCGGGGCGCGGGCTTTAGAGTCACGGGCACAGGCACAGGCAAAGGCACAGGCTGAGACTCAGGCACACCCTGGGAGATCACGTTTTCAACTGCTCCCAACGAACCAGAAGCAGCAGCCGCAGCAGCAGCAGGTGTGGTCAAAGACAGTTGAGGAGGCTGAGGAGGATGAGGAGGGTGGGGGGCAAGGGATGAGGGCTGGGAGACGGAAGAGGGTTTCCAAGGAGAGGCAACGGGCACGGGGGAAAGTGCGGCACCCACCCCCGCAGCAGAAGCAGCGGCAACGGCAGCAGCAGCGGCAGTGGCAGCCGTGAGCGCTAGAGAGGAGCCGGGAGGTGCCAGCGAGCCAATGTGCTCCGATAGAGCGGACACGACTGCGCCGAGAGAGAGAGGGAAGCGGCTTGTGCGGAACACTCGCTGTGCGTATGCACGCCTGCTGCAGGTGGCCGTGGGGTTGGTGTTGGTGATGGTTGTGTCAACACCGGTCTCTGCCGTTCCTCCTGCTACTTCCCCACCCATTCCACCTCCTCCTTCCCCTTCTTCTCCTCTTGATTCCACTGAAGCCTTAGGCAGGAAGGCACCAGGAGGAAGGCCGAGCGCGAGCATGTGCTGAAGGGGAGGACCTGAGTGGAAGAAGAGAGGGAGGTCCATGTCTTTAAGAACAGACTCGTCCATACACGGCCCTTCGTCGTCGTGTAACCGTGCGTGAGCCGGCACCCTCGCCTTCCTTTGCCCTGTGTTGATTCCTTCGGTTACACTCCCCACCCACGCACTCACGCCTTCAGACACCGCTGCTGCGGTCCTGCCTTGCCTTCTCCACGGCCCCCCTGGTGCAGCAGCAGCACCACCACCACGCTCCTCCTGGTGCTGCTGCTGCTGCTGCTGCTGCTGCTGCTGCTGCTGCGGCTGGCCTTTGTTTGGTTGTTTTAACCGCCTTGACTTGTTCGACCGCAAGCCCGCAGCCTGGCGAACAGCAGCAGGAGGAGGAGGAGGAACAGCACCGCACTGCACCGCACGAACCGCCCATGTCATCACCTCGCCTCCCATCCCATCCATTGCCTTCGCCGCTGCTGCTTGTGCTGTGGCAACAGGCACTCCGTTTGCACTGCCAGGGGCAGCAGAACCACCAGCACCACCAGCAGAGGCACCAGCAGCAGCAGCAGCAGCAGCAGCAGCAGCAGCAGCAGCAGCAGCACCAGCACCAGCACCAGCAGGAGCAGCAGCATCAGAAGAAGCAGCAGCAGCAGCACTCCCCTGCCCTCTCTCCCTCTCCTTAGGATCTGTCACTGTGCGCCGCAGAGGTCGTGACGCAGTAGCAGGGGAAGCAGAGGATACAAACGTGCCAGAGGAAGCAGAAGGAGACGCAGCAACAGACACCCCCCTGTGGAGACCCCGCCTCTCCTTCACTCCCGCCTTCCCTTCTGCCCTCCTCGCGCCCGTTGCACCTGCGCCTGCACCAGAAGCGCCCGCACCAGGCTCACCCGGTTCCCCTGTGGCCCAACCCCCACTAGCAATGGCAGAAAAACTCGCAAGAGCACCAGCAGCACCAGCAGCACCAGCAGCGGCAGCACCCGCACCACTACCAGTTGCAGCAGAAGCAGCAGCACCCGGTGCAGCAGGGAAACTAGATACACTACCGGCAGCTCCAGCAGCGGCGGAAGAGGAGAAGGAATGGGAGAGAGCGAGACGGCGGGCGGAGTTTGGGCCAGGGGAGAGAGGGGGCAGGCCAGCAGAGGGGAGTCTGGGAGACATCTGGGATACTCGCACAGGGGCAAAGGGAACTGACGATGTGGCAGCGGCGAGAGGGAGTTCAGAGGCTGGGGAGGGGACAGTAATGCGCAGGGAAGGACGGGGTCGGGGAAGGGAAGGGCTGCGCTGCTGGGCCTGCTGTGCCTCCTGCTGCTGCTGCTGCTGCTGCTGCCTCTGTTCCTGCGTGGCAAGTCGTTGCGGCACTGCTGCTCCTGGTAGTGCTGCCGCTGCAGCTGCTGCTGGTGACTCTACACCACCACTACCAGCAGCAGCAGCAGCAGCAGCAGGAGCAGGAGCAGGCTTGAAAGCCAGGGGGCTGTGGTTCCAGGGGAGGTTTCCTGAGGAGGCGAGCAGGAGAGCAGCAGAGTCAGCGTCTGCATCCATTGCATGGCGAGGGGCGCTCTGAGACTTGCGCAGCGCACGTGACGCAGCAGCAGCAGAAGCAGAAGCATCCACAGACTTGCCCGCACCTGCCCGCCCTTTTCCTCCTGCTCCTGCTCCTGCTCCTGCTGCTCCTGCTGCTCCTGCCGCTCCCGCGCCCACGGCTCCACCTGTTGCTGGTCCCATAGCCCCTGCCACCATGCCTCCCGTCCCCCCCTTGCCTACTGGTCCCGCTGCGGGCTTGTGTGCCTGCCTTTGCTGCCGCTGCTGCTGCTGCTC